AGCCACTTTTGACCCACAAAATTTGAGTTACGTAGCATTGTCGATTTATTTATATGTCTTCCATTACCATCTGTATTAATTTCATAGTTGGTTTGGGAATTAAATTTTTTTCACAATTTTTTACGATTATGGAGAATAGGTGCCAGGGGAATCATGGGAATGAGAGAGGGTACATAAGGAGCCAAGCTCATTTTTTTAACGGTTGAAAAAAGATAGAGTGCTGCTATTTACTCCCATCATTTTACTTTTTGAACTCTCACCTCGTAAAATGAAACCTCTCAATTTTTTCTTTGAATCTCTACTTTAATACCAATTATACCCTTAATCCCAAACCCAAACCCTAGCCCCCACTCCCGACCATCACATCCAGCAGTTCACTCATCGGAGCCCTTACTGCCAGTAGTCCCACCATTGGTACTGCAATAACAAAAAGAGAGAGCAATTTGAGTAAATTTGCAGACAATCATGAGAAGTCATGAGATATGTATGCAGAGTGTAAACTAACAAACTGTACCTCCAACATGGAACCTATTCATGGAAGCCCAATGATTGAAGTTTGTCATTGAGTCATTTCCGGTGGGTTTGGACTAGCCTCTGTCACCACCGACTTCGAACTGATGAAAAGACACCAAGAGGAGAACCATGGAGATGGAGATGATGAAGGAAAAAAAAGGACAAGAAAGAAGAAGAAGAAGAAGTCATTTGTGGGTCAATCACCAAATAGCAGAGAGAGATTGAAAGTTAGTAAATAAGAAAGCCAAATAGCAAAATAGAGAAGAAAATAGATACTATGAGGAAGAAAATAGAGACTATAAATAGAGTGTGAGTGGGAAAGGCTGCCGGTCGGAATGGAGTGGAGATGGAGGGTTAAGGTTAGGGTTTGAAGGATAGAGACGGGTAAAAATAGAAATTGATATTAGGATAAAATTGTAATAAAAAAATAAAGAAAATGTAGGGGTCTAAAGAAAAAAGATAAGTGTTAATAACAGCACTCAAAAGAAATCAGCCAGTGTTCTTCTCAATTGCTCTTATAAATGTGTTTACACCTCATCCCGTTTGGAGAATGATATAGGCCTCTTTTAAGAAGTAGGTTAAAAGTCACTTCCTAATTTTTTATTCATTTTAAATCACACCATCTCTCATATTTTTTACAAGTTTTTTTTATAAAAAAAAAAAAAAAAACTTTTGACCATCTTTTCAAAACAACTCATAATAATTGATTGAGAATACTTATGAAATCTGATACTAAACTAGAGGGTTTTATTTGTGACTTCTTAAATTGTTCGCATTGCTCTTTTTGGTTCAAGCAAATGTTACAACTTAGGCCTCGTTTTGGAACATATTTTTTTAGGTGTCGTTTGGAAAGTGGGTTGGTTTTTTGATTTTTTTGGCTATTTTAGCTTAGGCAAAAAAGCTTAGGCCTCGTTTGGGAACAGGTTAATTTAGTAACTTTTTAGCTATTTGGTTAAAAAAGTAGGTAAAAAAAACTTGTATGTTTGGGATGACTTTTTGACTAATTACGAAAAGATATGCAAAAAGTAGAGAGAAAAGAGAATTTTTGACTTTTTAGTATGAGTTGTTGGCTTTTTTACTAACTTTTTGGCAAATTGACTAAAAAAGTAAGTCCCCAAACGGGGTTTGGGAAGGGCTTTTTAGCTTTTTGGCTTTTTTGGTTTTTTTGTGAGAGAAGAGTGTAATGATTATGAGTTGGATGTGATGTTTTGTTTGTTGTGGCTAAAATAGCTTATTTTGTCTTTTGTTGCTAAAATAGCCAAAAAAACCCATGAACCTTCTTTCCAAACGGAGCTTAACTTTTTGACTTTTTGGCTAAAATATGATATAAAAAAAATTAGTATGTTTCGGATGACTTTTTGACTTTTTATGAAAAGATGTGTAAAAAGTAGAGAGAAAATGAATTTTTTGACTTTTTAGTATATGTTGTTGGCTTTTTGACTTTTTTAGTAACTTTTTAGATTTTTGACTAAAAAAATCACTTGCCAAACGAGACCTTACTATGAATGTTCGGATCAACTGCCTAGCGTACGGAATACGGAATATATTCCAAAGCTCCAATGGGTTTTTGAGAAGTGGATTGGTAGTCACTTTCAAACTTTTAATTTATTTTAAGTTACAATGTCTTTCATATTTTTTATATGTTATTTTCAAAAAAAATTAAAAAAAATTAAAAAATCAGCTTTTAACCATCTTCTCAAAACAATCATATATTTTAGCTTAAACTAACAACACCGATTACTTTAACTTTATTAAAAGAAGGGTAAATTATAAATATATTTTTTTAAATTTAATTAAAATATGATTCATTTCTTGTAATTTTGAAAATTACATTCTACTTTTTGAGATTTCTAATTTCATAACAGATCGCCCTTTTGTTAATAAATTATGAAGTCAATTAACAGTTTTTAATGATTTTACAAATATGTTTCAATTAATAATTTAGATAATTTTATTATTGTATAGGAGAGAAATTATGAATTTTATTTTTTCAGTTAATTCTGCTAAATAAAAAATTCTGACAAAAGGATATTTGCAATTTTTTAAATTATAGGAATAATTTGTATTTTAAACAAATCTTAAGGTGTGCATTTATAATTTACCCTTAAAAGAAAATGTAAGTATAATTACATCAAAAGTATAAAATTACTTATATATATTTTTTAAAAAATTCAAAGGATGTGAGTGTAATTTTTGGTTAACTAGTAAAACTTTTTAAATCTGGCCTCCATCAATTTCAGAATTAACTACTTAAAGTCAGTTATCAGAGTAGGACCAGAAACAAATCTCAAGTATGTGCATCGATTTTACAATGCACATATTATTTTAATTAGAGAGTACAGTGACCAAAATTCGACATCCAAATCCTGAATCATCCAACACTTAAAAGAGCAGTCCAAACATCATTACGCCAAATTTATATCAAAGTGTCACAAGCCTTGGTTGTGTGAGTGTAATTTACCTAAAAGCAATGGTGAAAAACATTTAGGGTAAATTACATTTACCTCCCCTGAGGTTTTTGACAAATACAGAGACCTTCCCTGTAGTTTTAATAATTATAGAAATCTCTCCTACTTTATCTGACAATATCAAGATTCCCCCATTTTTTGACTTCCGTTTACACAACTAACGGAAGCAGCTGATGTCATCAAAGATAAATGCTAAAATGTCCATAATGCCCTCAAATATCTTGAACCCATTTATATATCCCAAACAGTAGACCTTGCAACACCTAATCCAATCTCTTTAAGTGTTATCTCTTCCCTTTGCTTTCTCTACCAAAAAAAAACAAAAAAACTCATAATTATCACTGCTGTAGAAGCAGCAACACAATACCCATAACATGGCCATTATTGTTATTAGCTTAACGACGCCACCAGTCAAACCCCAAGCTCTACCAGCTCTGCAAGCCCTAAACCACCACTACCATCACACAAACTCACCACTGAAACACTTCCCAATTAATAAAAGAAAAAAAAAAAAAAACACCAATACTACAAAGCTTTACCAGCTTTGCAACTCCCCAAAACAAAAAAACTGGATAGGTGAAGATGTAAATATTCATACTCAACTGAAGCCTTAATCCACAATTACTCAGTTGAGAAGTTGGATAGCCATCATCAACACCACCTCCCCAAAAAAATCAGTGCAAAATCAAACCCGATAGAAATCAAAATCAAACCATAGCCATTATCAGCCAAAGAAAATAAGGTACTGGATTATAATGCAACAATTGGGTCTCTTTGAATCCACCACCCCTTCCAGCCTCCCCCTTTCTTTCTCCCCATTTTTTTCTCCACCTTTCTTTCTTTAGCCATTTGTCTTCCTTCTCTTCTCATCTTCTTTCTCTTCCTCTCATTCTTCTTCTCCCGATCGTGACCTAGATTGTAACCAACTGCCATAAACCCAGATTGCAGCCATCACTGCCTATCATCTCTCTAAAAACTATAGATCTAGGGTTAGGGTTTTAGAAGAAAAAGATGAGGAAGAGAAGAAAAGTAAACGATGAATAACAGATGAGAGGGAGTGGAGGAAGACTTGTTGGTAGAGGGAGAAATAGAGGGAGGCGGTGGTGTGTCCTCGACAAAGACCTTTGTTTCGGCGTCGATGTCGGAGGAGAGGAGTCGCGGTGGAAGGGTTGTCGTCGTCGGAGAAGTTGATGTCGGTCTCCCATAAGAGTCAGTTGTTGTTGGAGTGGTCTTCGGGGAACCAGACGGACTCTCAAGCTTTGTTCCACTCGTCGCCGCCGCTTTTGCCGGTGGTGGATAGTGGCGAGGGAGGTGGTAGTAGTGGAGGAGAATGGTGGTGGTGATGTGATTGAAAAGGGAGTTAAGAATATAAATATTAAAACAAGATATACACAAAAGTAACCCAGAAGATGTAACTTGAAACAATATTTGCACGTAAAGCATACAAGAACAGAGAGAGAACAAAAAAAAAAAAAAAACATTTTGTACACTGTAGGGTTAACAAAACTGACAAGATCAAAGGGTATTTTCGTTTTTTTGCCCTCAAATAAAAGAATAATGTAGTCATTTTGTATAGGAAAGTAACGTCGTTTGTGTAAAATTGACGGATTGAAAAAATCTTAATATTATCAGATAAAATAGGAGAGATTTCTGTAATTATTAAAACTATAAAAAAAGTTCTTGTATTTGTCAAAAATTTCAAAAGAGGTAAATGTAATTTACCCAAACATTTAATATGAAATCTAACATTTAATGAAATCTTGGAATTTTGTGGCCAACAGTCCTGATTTGGTCAGTGTCAACTTTTATTCAAAACGAAGGGCTCTGATTTTATTTTTTACAAAAAAGTGGATCCCCCAATCCATCACTCTCCCTCTCTTTCTCACCTTCTCCCTTTTCTCTCTGTGTAGCTGAAAATCTTGATACAGATAGCCTACCATTAATTGCATTACTCTCTCTCTCTCTCTCTCGAATCTTGATATATATATATATATATATGTATAGATTTTCACTCACTCACTCTCTCTCATCTCATCTCTCTCCCTCTCTCTCTCTCTCTCTCCGCTATTACGAAACCGTACACAAACCTCTCTCTCTCTCTGTAGAAGTTGTGAAAACGTGTTGCCAACATTCTGCTCACCTACCTCTCAATGTCTCTCTCTCTCTTCTAAAATTTTTAAATTCTGACTCACCATTTTCGGCTTAGTCTCTCCAAAACGAACTCTCATGAGTTTTGCTCTTTGTAGCTCACCACATTGGGTTTTTTCAGATTGGTATAAATCATGGCTTTGAAGGCCGTACCAATCTGGGTTTGTGTCAATCACATAAGAACTCAATTGGGTTTTACAGATTTGGGGTCGAGGCGTTCTGGGTCTGATTCGAATTTGAGGTTTGGGGTCGATAAGTCTCGGGAATGGGAGTGTTGTGGAATGGTGTTGTCTCAGAGGGCAATAACACCTGTTGAAGATGAGAAGCCATTAGCACCTAGATTTGATTCACCTGGTGGGGCTGATCAGACACAGATCACTGAATCTAGAGGGTTTCATAGAGATTTGAACTCTCTTCCAAGTGAGTTCAATCAGATTTCTTGAACATGACATTAATGAATTCTTGTGTGTTTTGTTTATGATTGTAATTCATAGATTGTAGGATTGATCTGGGTAATTGAAAATTTTGGTGCTCATAAAATTTGAATTTTATAATAGATGAGTGATAAATTGGACCTAAGTTTGGATACCAAATCATTATTAGATACAGGGCTATGGAGAGAATGGTTGATTCTTTCCTGTGTTAGGTTTTGTTGCATTTGTGATGACTGAGGTGTTCCATTAAGAGCTCATTTCCATTTGGTTGAGTATTAGGGTTTAGGGTATAATGAAGGCTTGTTTTAGGGTTTTGGGATACCTAATTATACTTCTTTGTTTGTGCAGTGCCAACATGCTGACATTCATGGGCATGCATATGAGACATTCTTAGTTTAGAAAGTATGAACTTGTCGTTTTCCGCGTGTGTATAGGTAATGTGGGTATTATAAATGGACAATTTAATGCTGTATCGACAATTTGAATCCAAAGGTTGTCATTTTAAGATGTTATTTATAGGAAAAATGTTATATGTCACCGAATTTTCGTCATCATTTTGTCTCATTCCCTACGCGGATACCACCGTGGCATGTGCACTTGGTTCTCTTGACCAATGAGATCGCACAAAAGAAGATACATGGGGTCGATGTCGTTTCCCACCTAGTCGACTCGTTCAACCCATTTTTGGTGTTCTTATTGGTTTGAGAGCACCACATCAACATGTTAGATGGTAACTTACTCTAATGAGGGCAAATAGTATTAGTATCTTCTCATGTACCTGGTGATATAAATCAGTGAAAAAAAACATTTCACATATAGCAATCCTCTATTTATAATCAATAATAATTCCCTCTATATGAGTTAAATTTACTCTTCTACTTTTGTTTTTAAACTGTATCGTCATTGCCTAACTTGATTACCTAGCATCTTTCCATAATATTGCAACTAATATTATGATAAACTTTTGAATAAGATCATGGCCATTTTGTTTGTTTACAATTTCATGGTTTCAATATAAATGCATAAAATCGCAGGACCCTTATCTGCAACTGATCTTTCTTCTTCTACAAGTGATTGTTCCAAGGTGAGAGTTGCTTATCAGGTACGAAACTTGTACTTTGTTCTTCTGCTACATAGTTTCAGCCTTTTAGTTCTATTTATATTGGTTTGGTTATTGGATGTAGGGGATACCAGGTGCATATAGTGAGACTGCCGCACTTAAGGCATACCCCAACTGTGAGACTGTCCCATGTGACCAGTTTGAGGCTGCATTTAAGGTTCATTTAATTAGTAATAGTAATTTTAAAAAAAAAAACAAATTTACCCTTTGTTCTTACCTTTATAGTATCAATTTTCTTGTCGCAGGCAGTTGAATTGTGGTTAGTGGACAAAGCAGTACTCCCCATTGAGAATTCTGTAGGTGGAAGCATCCACCGTAATTATGATCTACTCCTTCGTCATAGACTCCATATAGTAAGGGAGGTGCAGATGGTTGTTAACCACTGTCTTTTGGGGTTGCATGGAGTGAGAAAGGAGGAGCTAAAATGCGTTTTGAGCCACCCTCAGGTTTGATCCTTTTTTACTTGTACATACACATTGATATATATGAGTTTCAGAATTTTGATTTTGTGTTATTTAGAAGTTAGTTATGTGCCACGTCATCTGTTCTATATGGAAAGACCTGGGTGCTCATCAATATTTTTCCAGTTGCTGCAATGTTAGGAAACTCCATTGATGACCGTAACTTTAGAATATGTCCAAATCATGCAATGAACTACTTATCGAGTATTTTATTGTAAGAAAAGGAAAGTTGTATAGATAAGACCAATAGAAGCTATAACCTACTATCACAAGCTATAACTTAGGGCTGGGGGACTGTTCCTATTCCATATTGAGGATTGTGGTGTTCGTTAACATAGCTCAATCAAGCAAATTGAAGTTTCACATAAGCTCATCAATGATAGATCATTTCATTTACTTGACCTTTGAATTGTCACAAAGCACAAACCATTTACGCTAAGGTCATTATGAAACTTCCATTTTTTCTGTTTTTCTTTTTCTTTTTCTTTTTTTCCCAAGGAAACATAGTGCCTCAATTTCACTCCTATCTTAAGAAAGAAGAAGGAAACAAAAAATAAATCTACTGTTGCTTGCAGGCACTTGCTCAATGTGAGATGACACTACACAACTTAGTTATGAAACTTCCATTTTTTCAGTTTTTCCTTTTCTTTTTTTTTTTTCCCAAGGAAACATAGTGCCTCAGTTTTGCTCCTATCTTAAGAAAGAAGAAGAAGGAAACAAAAAATAAATCTACTGTTGCTTGCAGGCACTTGCTCAATGTGAGATGACACTACACAACTTAGGTGTTGTGAAAGTTAATGCCGATGATACAGCTGGTGCTGCTCAGGTATGTGTGCAGCTTTTTTGTAGCCATTAACTGTTATGTATGATGCTTAATTATGTTGGATGGCATTGTTCTAAATATTCAATGTTATGAACAGATTGTTGCAACTGATGGCATTAGAGATACCGGAGCAGTTGCAAGTGCTCGAGCTGCAGAAATTTATGGGCTCGACATTCTTGCAGAAAGAATACAGGTTAGGCTGTTAACCAATCTTTGTACTATGATTTATGTAGAGGATGGATCTCAGTTTTCCCCAAAGTTGGTTGCTTGGTAGATAACTTGCTAATTAATGGTAACAATCGATCGCATTACACAAGTATGTGACCAGTGGCTAATATGAAGAGAAAGGGAAAAACACCCCACCCTAGTTAGGCTTCTCTTTGAGGCTCATCTCATGTTTGAAATATTATGTTTATTGTTTGATTATTTTCTTGACAAATATTAGTTGTTAGAACTCATGGCTATTGTTATTTGATTTGGTTTGATGTTCCATTGCATTGACCAGGATGATTGTGATAATATTACCCGTTTTTTGATACTTGCAAGAGAACCTATAATCCCAGGAACGGATAGACCTTATAAGGTATGATTGTTTTTGGTACATGGGCAAGCCACAACTGTGTTTTCTTTAAGCTGATTAAAAAGGAAATTGTTGTTTTCTTAACAGACGAGCATTGTCTTCACTCTAGAAGAAGGCCCCGGGGTACTTTTCAAAGCTTTGGCTGTGTTTGCTTTGAGGGGCATTAATTTGACAAAGGTAACTTAAAGTTCGCTCTGATACTATTTTTTGTGAAAAGGTTTGTTCATTGCCTTGTCTCTCAAATGCAAGTTCAGATTGAGAGCCGGCCACAGAAAAAGCATCCGCTAAGGGTTGTTGATGATTCCAACAAAGGCAGTGCAAGGTGAGTATTATTCTCCTTTAAAACAGATTTTGCAACATTGGAGTTTCATGGACACTTGTACAAACATTCATGTATTTGATTGGTTGCAAAAATGATGAATGCAATGTGATAGATTGTTGGTTTAATTAAAATTTATGGAATGTTAAACTATGAAGAACCGAAGAAGAAACAATTGATTAGTGATTGCTTGCTATAAGGAAAAATGTAAAACCAGTCATGGCATCGTTGTTAATATTATGGGATTAGAATCTTACAAATTTTCCAAAACGTCCAACTTGCAGTTTGAAACTTAACCAAAAATCTGATCGAAAGTCCCAAGAAGGACAAAGAAGGCCACATCTTTTTAGGGTAAATGCTATAAGAAGCAAAACAGATCAATTGCAGAATGTTTCGTAGTGGCGTAAAATTGTTTCCTTTGTTGCTAAAAGAATGTTGGGAAAATGAAGGATGAATTTTGAATTTAAATCTTTTCATTGTTTGGGGACCTGAGAAAGTACAAACCCTTCAAACCCTAGTGAGACTTTACTTGTATTTAACTTGGTTAATTATTTATTGGAAGCCAAATATGCTGTCATATGAGTTTCATAAAATATTTAATGTTTTGATAAGAGAATCATATATACGATGCTTTGGAGGCCTGCCAACCCTCTCAGAAAAATATTTGTATAAATAGAAGGTAAGCTAGATGCTTGGTGTTGATAGTTTCATTTCCTTTTATGAATAGAAATTTTACCAAAAATTCTATAGAATCTAATGTGGCCGATTTCAATCCAATCACTTTAAACTAAAAAAAATCATCAGGTTGGTTTGTAAAGTCTGAATTGCCAATGGCATATTGTTTCAGATTGGAGTTCTATATATAAAAGTTCCGTCTGTTCAGAGTTTTTCATTAACTTAGAATTTGTGTTTACAAAGTCTATACTATGAAATTTGTACAAATAACTTGTTTCAAATGACAGGTATTTTGATTACCTCTTTTACATCGACTTTGAAGCTTCTATGGCAGAACCCCGTGCTCAATATGCTCTGGGACATCTACAGGTCAGGCCTTACTGGTTTTTGCTTCGTAATTACCAAATTTCTCATGTCCTTAATTTTATATTTGCCGTCTTTCCACTATAGGCAATATCATTTGGTGTAGAATTATGGCCCTGTTTGGTGCATCTTATGGGTTTGCTTATAGGCATTTTTTTTTTTTTTGGAAATCTATGCAAAAGTGTTTGGTGCAACATTTGCTTACAGTTTATACGACAGAAATAAGCTTAAAAAATTTAATTATTGGGAAGCAGGGTGAATGAATGCTTTTAGCTTTTACTTCTGATTTTCAGCTTTTAACAGTACCTATGTCCCTGGGTAACTTGTTTTTTTCATTTTTTTTCCTACACCTACTTGCTCGGCTATCTTCTAGGTTTGAGATTTTGATAATTTATGTGCAAGCTAGCTTACTTCTTGGATTCCTTCCCCATTATAGTTGTCACCTTTTCATAATTTACATGCATATAAGGATTTCTATTCCCTGCTTGAATCATTTGAGGGTTTGCTATTGTTTTTCTGCAGGAATTTGCAAGATTCCTTCGGGTCCTTGGTTGCTTTCCCATGGATACAGCTCTGTAGAAAAAAAAGGCTTCCTCAAAATGAGTCTTCAACGTATAATTTGATTTGCCAAGCTGCATGAAGTTGGAGACGTGTCATTCTGCTACTCTGTACATACATTTGATCCTGTTGGCGTGTTCAAGTGGTGGAAGATAATTTCCGTATATCCAGCAAAGTAGCCTCTCAAATAGAATGTACTTTCATCCATCAAGTTCTTTTCAAAAAATAAATTTTTTTTTTTTTTGGCCCACATTCTTTTCACCTTCCTTCTAATGGAGGGTGTCTTGGCATGTTATGATCATCTCTTGAATTGCTATACTCTGAAAATAGCTACATTCACAAGGGTGTTGAACCCTAGAAGACAACATATCAATGAGAGTTCTCTAATTAATAATGAACAGTTCTTTTTTTCTTTTTGTGACTCGGTGACTTAACTGCACCAAGATTGTAAACTTGTTTATTTTACATCTTCTTCAAACATATAATGTGTAATTATGAAAACATGACAGATAAATTTGTTTTATTGAGTTTCGTTCAATCATCTGTGCCACATCAATTCCCAGTTTGCTTAGGCAATTTGTGTACTGTTGTACCCTGCACAATCCCTTTCTACTTTAGAATTTGAACTTCTGGCCCCTAAAGAACAGAATGGCTGCTCCGAAAACTTGGGAGCCTTTCCTCAAGTTCGGGAAGTGGACCGTGTAGGTTTTTCACAGGTCTAGCCAGGATGGAGAAAGTGACACCATAGAGAGTAGAACATCTGGGTTTTAGACTAAATTTTTTCTTCTTTCCCTCTTTTCTTTTCTTTTCTCTTCTTTTTTCAAATTCATAATCCAAGTACAACTTGAAAGAGCACTTAATTCACGTCATATGCCATATAACCATTTAGTCAGGACAGGAGTGAATTGCAAGGATAGGTCGGTTATGATTGGAAATACCTGTCATTAGAAACTAGTTTGGAGGTAGCCAGAGAGCCAAAACTTTGTGGTCTTGTTTGTGCTATTTATTGGTCTTTGTGGTTGGAGAGGAGTACAAGGATCTTTGAAGGAAAGGAGTCCAGTGATGAATCAATATGGGATTAGTTTCACTTTGGGCTTTTGTGTCTAAGCCTTTTAAAGGAGTTAATTTTTTCTTGATTTATAAGGATTGAGTTGTTCTATGCCATTCCTAATTTTTGACTTTCTTGTTTATTTTTGTCTTTTGTTGTTTTAGAACTTCATTTTTGAGGACTCCTTGTCCTCTTTCTCTTTTCTTGATTATGCTTAATAATATTCTTTGTCGCTTTTCAAAAAAAAAAAAAAAGGAGTCAATTATAGGAATAGCAATGTAGAGTTGGAGACAAATCTTCGTGGAAAGATAATTTTGACATAATCCAAAATAACTCGACATGAATACGACCCAACACAACAGACGCCCATCCCTAGGGCAGACCATGATTTCTAAATTTATGACTTCATGACTCAAGTTGGTAAAACAATAGCAAAAATTACAAGCACAATAGCAACGCAAAAGCACATACATGAAGATGCTTATACAAGTAGGTATGATACAATAGAAAGTACTTGACATAGCTTGTCTAAACAGATGACAAAGCAGCATCAAAACAAGGCACTACTACTTCACAACAATTGCACAAACTGACTTTATTCATATTTTTAGAGGCACTGCCAGTTTTTTGTTAATGCACAACACAATGCAATTACGCCTTCTCCAGTTCCTTCAGAAAATCTTCATTGTCAACCAGAACCTACAAACAGGAAAAGAATCATCAGCTTCTACGAGTCATTAGCAGCGCTACCGACACAAACACTCAAATTGGAATTCACACGCCCATACATGCTAAATAATAAAGCAGCTCGTTATGCTAACTACCTATCTAATCATCCAAATCAGTTAATGGAAAATTAATTTTATTATTGAACAAGAGGCTTTGTAGTCTAGAGAACAAAAGAGCTTTATGCTCCGTGGGGCACTGGTAAATAATACGTAGTGGATGTGTTACCCACTACATTTAGTTGCACAGCCGGTAAGTATTGGCTAGGAAATTATTCCCTAGACATAGCACGGACATCTCTCCAGTGGTCACTTATGGGTGTTTGACACGTGTCAGACATGGACACGTTGAGGAAATATGGATATGTCAATATGATAGCATAACTACTGCACAAAGTTCAAATATTCAAGCATATTATAAATGTTGACATGCCAAACTCATTTTTAAGTCATCTTTGCATTTATTTCCTCCATCTAATGTACAAACAAGGCTTAAAAAACATGTAAATCTGTGTGTTTGAGCATCAAGTGGAGTGGCTACTATTTTCCTCCTTCATTGATGGAAAAAACTTTGCCACAAAATATTTATATAGAACCCAAAAACCTAAAAACATCTGATCCACGACTGGATATTGCTAAAGAAAACATACTGTCTTCCAGCCATCTGGATCTAGAAAAGAGGTGATCTTGGTGTTGATTCCGGGAATTGGTCCTGGTTGTCGAGTTATCTTTCCTCCAAGCTCTTGGGTAACCAGGTTAACAACCTCAGCACTTTTGTACACATCATCTGTATTTATGGCAACCTAGAATGAATATCAAATCCATCAATGAGACATGTCCAAGGAAGAGAAAGTAGTGAATTGAAATGAAAAGAAACTTACTAAAAAATTCGGAGAATTAAACAAACCTGTGCGTATGCATTTCCTTTGGTATATTCAGTCACACCGTAGTTGTATGTCAACTCCAGAACAGTTGTCTCCATTTCATCAGCATACCCCATCATGGCTATGGAGTACTGTACAGTACAAGAAACAGAACTCAACATTTTTCAATCATCAATATGCCACCTAAATCCTTATGAAAAAATTTAGAAAAGAACAATGTTTACCTTCTGTCCTGGCATGTCAATCTTTCTCAGCATTTTCATCCCCAAGGCCTGGCATATGTAAAACGCATAAAATCGATCGAGTGAGAGCAGTTTAAGGAATTACAAAATTTATGGGAAGTGGAATTTTATATATGCAGAAACTGGTATTTCTAGGATATGCCTTAGATATTTCATTTAGGGGCAGCAGGTCATACTGCGACGTCGGCTCCATACCCTATTGGGGCTATTTTAGATATCTATAATAGTAATAGATATCTATAATATGCATATGTAAATATAAATCCATGGTTTATCAAAAGCACATGCTGCTCCGTTCTCAATTACTAATAAAAAAATTTGAATGGTTCATTCTTTTACATTATTCAAATTACTCAGGCACCGAGCCAATAGGATGCACCTAATTGCTAAACTTGCAGGCTTATTAATTTCCTTGTCTAAAAAAGTGATGATTTTGTAAGATCTAACTGCAAATGAAGCCGATATTCATAATATCACTGCATTTTTTTGAGAGAGAGAGAGACTAAACAATATCATCCACGTGAAAATTTTATTGAGAGCAAGTACTTTCAAAATATCATAATTTCACTTAATGGATCAACTAGAAAAGCAGATTCATTAAAAACATGAAATACACATAAAATATCACATAACAGAACATAAGCATACCTTTTTGTAGAAATTTAATGTATAAAGAGAAATAAAGAATTGTATTATTGATTCATGTATTGATGTCAATTACAATGATTCATGATTCCTATATATAGAAGAGGGTGAGTGTGTAGTAGGTAAGGAGTAGGTGAAGTGGAGGTGGTAGTGGTGTAGTGGGTTAGGTTTAGTGGAGTAGGTGAGGTGGTAGTGGTGTAGTGGGTTAGGTTTAGTGGAGTAGGTTTAAGTGGGTGAAGTAGGTGGAGAGTAGGTGGAGAGTAGGTGGATTTTAACACTTTTCATAGAACTTGATAGAGCGATCAAGGTCACCAACACGAAGCATTACTTGACAAAGTGGTTCAGGAGTAGGACCTCTCTGGATTAGCTCAAATATGTAGCCATCAGGGTCTTTCACAAAAGCAATGACAGTCGTTCCACCTTTAACTGGACCAGGCTCCCTTGTGATATTGCCACCCTTGGCCCTTATGTCTTCCACCATTTTGTAAACCTGAACGTGGAAGAGGAAATCAAATTCAGAACCCAATTCAAATATTGTGTGAGAAGAATTTAAACAGTACTATGGTTACTTACATCTTTAGTTGCAATAGCAAAATGCCCAAAGCCTGTTCCGATGTCATATTTGTCCACTCCATAGTCTGTGAATCGGTTTCAGACAAGTTTAACAAAAATCATTAGATAAGAGAAAAAGAACAATTACTTATCAAAAAAAAGGGAAATTAAAAAATAAAAAATCTAGTGTTTAAATGTAGGTATCCTGACATACTATAGGTTAACTCCACTACAAAATTAGATTCTTCTGGTCCAAACCCAAGAAAAGCATTTGAATACTTCTCCTCTGGAATGTCTCGCTTCCTCAAAAGTTTCATCCCAAAACATTCTGTGTAAAACCTAATAAACACATCAAAACGAAAATGAGAACTCCAGCAAATCCAAAAACAATTTGACATTGAATCAATTCCAAAGTACTCTTTTTTTTTTTTCCCTTTAAGTTCTGTGGAGCAAAAATTTGATATAGGCATACTTGATGGTGCGATCAAGGTCACCAACACGATACACAGCATGTAAAAGCCTGCGCTTGTCCTTTTTTGGCCATTCCAACAACTCATCACTTGGAACAACAGGTGGAGCCTCAGCCATATCCAATAAATGTGTTTGTCTGCTTCCAACAGCAAATTGATATAAAAAATAATAATTAAAACTAAATAAAAAGGTATATTACTATTTTTACATTTTCACATATATGTTACAGTTTAAGAACTGAGCAGACCAATGGAGTTCAATCATTTGATTTCCCACAACAGATTAAAGCAACAATCAACATTTTAGAGGGAATCATTACAAAACAATGAAGAGGCGAGCTTCATTGACAATGGATGAATTACTACAAAAGAACCTTATAAGGTTTAAATATAAGATGCCAAAACCATAACATATATAATTTGAAATCTATATTTTAGTTCCTTTCCTAATTACAGAATTTTCATGTGTACTGATGAAACATACCCACCATCGTAATCCAAGGTACAATGAGTCTATGATAAAAATTCACCTAAAGCGATATGGTGTATTTAATTTAATTCAGCTCCTTTTACAAGAAACTTTCCCTAGATAAAATCTGAAGCAAGGAAGCAAGTCAATATTTAGCCCAGAGCCAAATCGATCCAACCTGGTGCAGTACAGAAAAATGAAAACAGAAGCTCTATAGCAAAAAATGGATCACCAGAGGAAAAACTAGTAAGATAGTAATACCATCTTCAAGAAGAGGAAAAACTAGAATTTGGAACCTATATATTTGGTTTCCTTTTTTAATTCAGTTCATGCACAAAATATCAACTACCCAAACAAGGAGACTAAATGTATAATTTGAAACTAACATATTTGGTTTCCTCTTCTAATTTAGGCACATGTTTCATGTGTCGTCTGATCATATTCTTCACTTACTTTATCCAAAAAAATTACAATAAAGATACATACACCGATAGTGATCTTGTTTACCTCAATCTTGGTGGATAACTGTTCTCTTTTGTTTCTTCTACAATCAATGCAAATACAGAGGATTATATCTATAATTTAACACCATGATTCACTGATATTCAAATTCAAGATTCTGGAAATCTCAACAAACATTTACCCTAGCTTCTATGTAAAATAGATAAGGGTGGACCCAATCAAAATTCACAAAGTGCTTGCTCCTCAATTCAAATGTGCAAAACATTTAAAAACTTATGATAACTTAATGTAACAGGGTGGAATCATCCCATATGTAAGATTCCAATCATTTTCCTTTCATGTTTAAGACTCCAAGTTGTGTTTGGATCATAAATTTGGATAGGTGAGACCTTTCCAAATTCCTACACAAATCCATGACGCAAACACAGCCCAAGTATTTTTAAGAAAATTCCCAAAAAAAATAAATGTGTGGTTCACATTCATTTTAAGACGTGGGCTCCATACAAGAGTTGAATATGAACCATATATTATTTTTCTTGGAGGAAATTCCTGGGTAGAGTAATTGAACAAGATGCACAAGGTTTTCACAAAATTACTGTTACATTCATTCATTCAATCTAACAATACAAACACATAATAGACTTCTCAAAATTCTGGAACTTTAGTTATGAATTAAATCATTAAATCATAAACAGGGGCAAAAGGTGCTTCTTTTGCAAATCAATCACTGACAATAAACAAAACCTAGCATTTGCATGCAACTTTAAATCATTTTTAAGTATACAAAAGAAATTCATAATACCCAATTCTAGAATTCATGAGGGTTAATCACTAAAACAACATATTGATTGAAAACCACTAAAACAACATCATAATTCCACCCCTATTTTCAAAACTCAAACCACATAGAGAGAGAGAGAGAGAGCAAACCCTAATTGTGGAGAGAGTGACAGAGCTCACCAGAGAGAGTGGGAGAAGAGCAGTCTACAAATGATTTGTGTGGAGACTTCTCACATATATATAAATATGGACAATGATTGGTGGCCACAAATTCTGTGGCTCAAATGCGTTTTAGGTACAAAACAACTCTAAAAATGTCAAAACGGCGTCGTTTTAACATTTTCGGACCATTTTAGTAACAGGATTTGTGACTACCAAACATTTTTCTATAAATATATATAGTCTTTCTCATCAAGGCCAGCTAAAGTGACCGTACGTTGTCATTTGGAATATGACGGACAAATCGTGGTTGCTGAAACACGAAATTGTTGCAGGCATCAACCATTGATGCGTGTCGGTCACGGATAAAATCGCACAAGCGCTGTCGGTTTTGTAAGAAAATAAGGTGATTCGCGGGGACTTGACTTTCAGTTGAAAACTTTATCTAACTGTAAAAATTCGAACATGTGAAATTCATGGCAGCAAACGATTGAGCCACGTAATCGGGTGCACGGTTATTCTTGGAGATAATTACACATAGCTCCTTGAGGTTTTTGAAAATTATAGGACTCCATTGTAATTTCAAAAGTTGCATTACACTCCCTTATTTTATTTTTTTTCAAGAGCCTCTCTAATTAATGCTAACTTAATGCTAGGGGGTTGGCAGACATATGTGAGGAAGTGCTAGGGGTTGATGGGAACTATGGAGGGGTGAGAAATATTAGGCATGGCCGCCGGAGATGGTAGCGGTTGGGATAGGTAAGGAGAAATTGGGATTAAAGTTTGAAAGAATAAAGAATGAAATAAGATTGAAATTTTAAAATACAATAAAATATCGTTTATGAAAATGTGAGGTCCAAAGAAGGAACTTGAGGTGCTATTAGCACTGCAAAAGAGCCGAACTATTCACGAATAGGCTCGACTTGGTTCAACTCATTTAATAAACGAGTCGAGCTCGAGCTCGAATAAGTTTGATTCGTCAAATTCGACTCGTTTATCTTTATTTAAATTATATAATAAATATATTATTTATATATTAAATAATATTTTTATTTCAATAATATAAATAATATTAAATAAAATCTTATCGAGCCGAGCTCGAGTCTAGTTAATTATCGAGTCGAGCTCAAACTTAATAAACGAGCTCGACAAGTAAATGAGCCAAACTCAAGCTCAGTAAAACTCGGCACAACTTGACTCATTTGCAGCCCTAAGGATTATTAGCAAACAACATCTACCATCAATCACTTTGAGAAGAATAAAAGAGTTATTTTACTTCTTGATTTCTATTTAAATTTTAAAATGTATTATTAATTGAACTATATTAATACAATTTGAAATTTTTTAAAATAAAAATATGTAACAAACTACCATGATGAAATTAATATATGGAACAAATTACAAAAATTACGAGTGTAATTTTTTATAAAAGTTAAACCCACATTAAATATCATATGGCGGTGTTTGGCAAGTTGGTTTTTAAGTTTTCTTTTTTTAATTTTTTTTACTATAAAACAAATGTTTTACAAAATCAAAAAAAAATCAATCCAAACAAAATATCACATCAAACTCCATAATCATTTCACTTTTTCTCTCACAAACATCACATCTAACCACAAAAAAACTCAACTATCTTCCTAAACACAAAAAAAAAATCTCCAATAATATTCTATAACTAAAAAAAACTTACAAAAAAACTCACTTCCCAAACACCCACATAATAATAATAGAAAAATGTTTCAACCCCATTTCCCTCCCACTTACTTTGACCTCCTTTTCCTCTCATTGACCAATTTTTTATTTTTTTTTCCCTTCTCTTCCTCCGATCACTATCCGTCAAGTGTGTATGAAGGGGTGGAGTGGTGATTGGAGGAGGTCTATAACAATAAAGGGGAGGACGCAATCCATATGTTTGATGTGGACAAAAATTTGAAAAGAGGCTAGGATACATCATGGTTTTGTATATAAAAGTTGTGGTTAATAACGGGGTGGCAACCTTTTTGAAAAGTAGTGTTGTGTGTATTATTGTAGGAGATCACTTTAATTGGGTAAAAAAACACTTTGCTTGTTTTTGATTTTTTAAAAATATTTACTTTCCTGTTTTTCATATTTTTTTATTTTTTATAATTTTTTTTTGATATTTTCAGTAAGTTTTAAAAATTTTAAAAATACCTAACATAAATACATATAAAAAGTATATTTTTTATGAAAAAAAATCTTTTAAAAATTTACTAAATACCAAAAATATATATAAAAAAATATTAGAATTCAGTATATTTTTATGTAGTTATTAATTTTTTAAAATATTTTTTCATATTTTTTTTACTTTTTAGATACATCTAACTAAGGTACATCTAAAAAAATATAAAAAAATACTTATAATTTTAAAAATATTCACTAAAAATAAAAAATAAAAAACTCGATTTTCAAAAAACTTAATCCAAAAAATTTAAACCAAACACACACAATGGTGTTTTATTTTTAAAATATGAATTTTGTGTTAATTTGATTCTTTAATAGATAAAAATATTTTAATTTGATCTCTAATATTTAAATTATGTCAATCTGATTCTTAGTATATAAAATGTATTTCCATCTAGTCTCCCAAAATATTTGAATATGGGAAATTCTCCATCCAACATGAGAGACACTTAAAAAACACACCAAATAATAATAATAATAATAGTCTCAAATTTCATGAATCACTTTGGACTTGCTGCATTTTCTCTCTTCAAAATGTCTCCTGTCCACCTCAGCTCACAATTCAGTAAACATGTTTTCTTAGTTTTTGTTTTTCAAATATGTTTCCACAGGTACCAAATTCTACCCAAGTAATTATTTTAAATTTGGTAGTTGAAAAAATTAAAAAGAAAAAGATGGATAGGGTGTTTGAAATTGTCTTTTTGATCTATTTGCTATTTTTTTTTTTAATTAAAGAAGTTTAGACTTTTAAAATCTACTCCACTAAATGAACTAGAAAAGTTTAAAAAAAATAGAAAGAAAAGAAAAATATCAACAAAAAAAAAAAAAGAAGTAAAAAATAATTAATTTTTTTAAAACTTATTTTTGTTTTTAGTGAATTTCTTTGGATTTTTAATTTTTTTTTTGGTTTTTAGATAGGTTCTTCTGCACTAAACTGACCGAAAAAAGTAAAAATTTGACAAAAAAATTTGAATAAAAAAGTCACTAGACAAAAAAAAAAAGTGTTTTTTTTAGATGGATGCCAAACGAGGCCATGGACCTCAGAATCAAGGAAGCCAATTGAACCAAGTAACATCATTTTAAGGATGATATATAACAGAGCTCATATCAGAATACTTGGTAAAAATTGGGAGTACCGGTAAAAGCATAATTTCATGTGCAACACTCCGTTTGGCAAGCCTCTCAAATTATAATTTTACTCATTGATTTTAGTGTGTTGTTTGTTTTGAGTTTTCAAATCATAATTTTACACTCATTTCTCGAAACTCAATTCAAAACTAGGGATGGCAATCTGAAACCGGCCCGATGGGGACCCGACCCCCCGATCCCGAATATAACGGTTATTCCCCGACAAATACCCCCGACGGGCCGGGGATGGTGATAAAAAAAAATTCCCGGATAATTTTCGGGCCGGGGACGGGGATACATGTTTCAGTCCCGGCCCGGCCCCGGCCCCGAACCCCGGCCCGAGCATGCCCCGATCAGTCCCCGTATGTATATAGATATATATGTCTCAGTCCCGTGTGTATATAGATATATATGTTTAGAAATTAGTGGTTAGGTTATTATTTTATCTCAACCACTCTCTCTCTCTCTCTCTCTCTCTCTCTCTCTCGTTCTTCTCCCCCATCTACTCTCTGTGTGACTGAGAGATGAGAAAGAAGCGAAGGTCCAACCCTCTGTCGCCTCCTCCCCTCCTCGCCTTTACCACCGTCCTTCATCGCCTCTTCTCCTCCTCCCTGTAGTCCACTTCGCCCATCCGTGACTGCAACGTACACAGACTTCGATCTACCTCCGATCACAGACTTCGATTGACTCTCTGTGTTGATCTGCCACAGACTTCGATCTACCTCCAACCACAGACCAAATCCCACAGACTTCGATCAGTTTCTACGGCAGTGGATCTACCTCCGATCTGTTTCTACGGGGGTAGATCTGCCTCCGATCTGTTGCTATGTTGATTTGTTGATGAAGATGAAGATGTTGATCTGTGCTCCTCACCGCTGATCGAAACAAATTTGAAGATGGACAGATCTGGTTCAAATTCATATGTTTATGTTTATGTATATATTTTTTAAAGATTCATATATATATATATATATATATATATGTGTGTGTATGTGTATATGAATCTATTAAATGCAACAGATTTGATAATTCAATATATTAGTTTATTATATATTATACTATACTCCGCTCTTATTGTAATATTATAGATTCATTATACAGGTTTAGAATTTTTTTAATTTTTTTATTTTAAGTTTGATGATGATTGATGATGATAGACTGGCAGTGACGGGTTGGGTGTAAATATATAAGATTCAATATGTTTATGTTTAGTGTATATATTACTAGTTTTTTAAGTTGCGATTGAAATTCATATATATATTATATGTTTATTGTTATATACGATGAGTGTTGTTTTTGTGTGTTTAAAAAAAAAACGAACAGGTCGCACACACACACCACTCACACGGATTTTTCTGGGTCGGAGCAACCCGACCCGAATCGGGGGCGGGGGTGGGGGGGGCCGATAGCGCGTCCCCAACGGGGATCGGGGCGCCGGGGCTGGGGAATTTCTCTGATCGAGATGGCGGGGAAACGGGGGAGGGTGGGTCCGCGGTCCCTATGCCGCCGCTCGGTTGCTCATTCCTATTCAAAATTCATAATCAATACACATAATTCAAACTTTAAACTCAATTCAATCAATATTTTAATTTTTAAATATTTAAAATATATTTTACAAATATATTTTAAATTTTGTTTTAAGATTTTTAAATATTTTAATATTTAAACATAGTACGATATTTTTAATTTTTGAATATTTTAAATACTTTTAATTTCAAAATATTAACGATTTTAATTTTTTAAATTTTAAAATATTTTTATAAGAAATAAATTCAAACTTCATTTTA